CCTCCCCTACCCTCCCTCCCCCTCCCAGGCGATACATAAATGACCGGTCCCTAACTACTTACTATTACTCGTGTTAAGTATAACCACTTTAGGTTATTTTATAATTATAAGTTTTGTTAATTGAACTTGAACAAAGTATATCTGATTGTGACATTCAAGACTGGCGGTTTTCGAGGGGGCGCGGAAAACTGGTAACGCGGAGTAGAACGCGCGCTGACCACAAGATTCTTTTCAATATGGAGGAAAGCTAATCAAACTCTCTTGAAAAACAGACCGAAAACCAAAGTAAATGTGACTTSATTCGAAAAACAGTGCGCGTCTTACTCGCTACCAGTTTTCCGCTCATTTTCGAAAAGACCAGTATYTAATAACTTATACCAAAAAAAGAAAAAAAGTGTCCAAATAAAWATATATATATAATCACAATATATTTCAAGTTTCAGATCTAAGTTAGTTAATTAGTTCGTCTTCTTTCTCTGATTATCCTGAAAGAGGACTCTCAGGTCAGGCCAAAATTTCGGAGTCCCATGTTTCAGTTCACATGACACAATACTGCCTTTTTACCAAAGGTGRCATTTTTGAAGCCATAGCAAAGCCAGTGAAATATCAAGAACCACAATTTTAAGTCCCATATTTCAATATCATATAGTTAATGACATTATTTATAGAACTTGAGGTTATTATATTAATAGTATCTGGTCAATATGCAAGAAAATATTCCAAGGTTTTGGTTTTATAATATATATTTTTCGTGAAAATTCACAATAAGTTATATCTTTTTCTGGGAATCTAAAATTTTAAAAAGTTCTACTTAGTTAAGTAGCAATCTTAGTCATCTTCAGATTGGCTGTTAGGGAGTTGCAGAACCGCGTTGCATCATGAGCTGTTCTAGGGTATTGCTTTGATTAATACTTTTATACACGACTTTCAAAAATGGCCGCAAAACTCGGTTGGGACTAGGGACAATTGAATGGAAGCGAGGTAAGCAAGGCCTCATTAGTAAGCAAAGTCTACTCAGTACGATATTTTGTGTCAATGTCATTCATCTCACCAATTCGAGTTCTTTTAAGCGTCTCTTGAAGTAAGGGTGAATGACATTGACACAAAATATCGTACTGAACAGGCTTTGTTTACTAATGAGGCCTTACTTACCTCGCTTCCATTCAATTGTCCCTAGTCCTAACCGCGTTTGACGCCCATTTTTGAAAGTCGTCGTGTATTGCGTCTTAATTGATTTACCGTGTTAATTTTCAAATTTCTCTCGTTTCTTGTCGAATACAATGTCAACTGACCAATCAAGCGTCACTCAAGCTTTGAACTATTTAACAGCCCAACGATGCAACGCATTTCTGTATAACCTTGGTAAAGCCATTATAGTCAGATCAAGTGATTTGTTAAGTGTGACCGAGGTCACGTAATGCGACTATAATTATTTCATTCTAAATGTGATAAGTATTTCATTCTGAATAAAGCATGTACCTAAGATACTAAAATATTTCATGGAAAAATAATTCATTTGTTAATTTCTTCCTATTCGTTCAATTCAAAAACCATCTGCTATTCCACTGCCATGAGTCTATGCAAGGCTCTAACGTAATCGGCGCCATTTTGGCTAGATGTCAAAAACCTTTTGATGCAATTTCGTACCCAGGGTATTTATTTCTAACTGCGCATGSTCGTCCAGCATGCGCATAAGAAGTAAAGGCCGTGGGTTCCTGATCGGCTCTTACTGGTTCTAAAGCTAGAGCACAACTGTATGACTGGGAAAGCTTATCCTCCAAACTGGTGAAATTCTAAGCAGGAATCAAGGAGCTGTGTAAGACATTTCTCTAAAAACAATACCTCGGTCAACCAACAACACAGGGATTATTTATAGCTGAACAACGAATTCAAGTAATTCCTAATAAGCCACGTTCGATCCTACAACGGTGCCTACTATTAATCACGCGCACACGTACTGCGCATCCACATGGCCATTTGTAGAACTCTTGTATACGCGCACGCCATTTTTCATCGTGGTTAACAGTGTTCTTCTCAAATAATTTTTCGTTCCGTGTATGAGCCAGCATTTTAGCTTAGTCTGAAAATATCTCCAGAAAGGAACAATAATTTCTAAATTTCATTTCATTTTCTACATCCTTTCGTCCTTTAATACTTTTCTCTTTCCATTTTTATCCATGCATTTTTTGCCGATCTCTATAACAATCGCCAGTCTTCGATCCACTGCTTTCAAATGAGGCGAAGTCAAAATTGGCGCCAAAGCGTCCGCATCTGTAGACTCTTTTAACCGCTGACCGAGAGTTTTGGATTTATCGCTGGCTATGGCTGTTAGTCGCTGCCACGTCGAACGCCGTACCCTGGTGTTATAGAAACATTGTAAAATTAGCCGAAAATGGCTCAGTAAGGTGTGTATTTGCTGATACCGCTAATATTGCCTCATACTGCCGTAGAGGTGATGTCATCAGGTCGCTAGTCCATGAGCAACACCACAGGAAGTCCATCATTTGCAATTTAATGAGCTCTTGCAATTCCTATCGGTCTCAGATCAACCATTTCCCGTTATCTAGGTTAATCGAAATGATTTTATCTTGTTCATACATATAGTAAATTCGAAATTTATTTTTCTTCTATCATAAGCATTTTTATAGCATTAGCCACATGCGTTTATTGAGCGCGTATTTTTAGGGCAAGAAGGACATGTGGTCTGAAATTGTAAAAAAGATTATGCCCAAATGCATGGATTCATTATATGCTAGGCAAAGCAAAACATCGTTTGTCAATGCAACAATATCTCGTACATATCTTTCTTATTGATGAAAAGAATAACTAGAAGTTTCTCGAGTAGATATTTCGGACGATATCCATCGTCCATCATCAGTTTAATGACTCTCTATATTCACTGTAATGTAAAACTTAGAGAGAGTCATTAAAYTGATGATGGACGATGGATATCGTSCGAAATATCTACTCRAGAAACTTCTASTTATTCTTTTCATTTATAAACCTTTAGCCCATGCAAAGAAACATATTCACATTTTTCTTATTGATATAAAATTGAATATAACCCATACCTGCAACACTGGTAGAGCGGAGCTAATATCGATATTTCATCTACCTTTGGATTACCAAAGCTGAAAGAAAAAATCCTGTTAATTTTAACAGTAAAAAGTCAAATATTAGTCCATTAGAAAGAATTCAGTTTTGAACCTTCCTTGACTGAACCATTTAAAACTCTTGGGAGTAATTTTGGAATCATCTCATCGGAAMGCATTGGTGACTTAGCGGCGAGAGCACTCGCCTCTAACCAATGTGAACCGGAATTGATTCCCAGACTCATTATTTTATTTATTGACTTTCAAGATTTGCCCAAAGGCAGGCGAAGAATACAATAAGACACTTGGTCGCCTACTGGGTATTAAACACCTCGGTKTCGTATGTGAATCAGTAGAGTTGCTTGTTGGTTCTCTCCTGTGCTTCGAGAGTTTTTCTCTAGGTTCTCCGGTTTTCATCCCTAGGCAAAAATCAACCTTTACATTCCAATTGGAATCCAGAGGAAAAGACTCTCTGTGTAGCCACTATTAAATCTTATTTATCATTAATTCYTTTCATCTTTGTCATACCTCTTAGCGTTATCCAAATGAACGAGTACACCATCTTCGTCACCCTTCTTTAATGTCTCGTAATGATGTCTGTCAGCATTACCTGCAAAGCAACAACTTGCGATTATGAGCAAAGCTTTAATTTAAGGCGCCATCTGATTGGTTAGTTAGCTTGCAACGAGCGCGTAGCTATGGAAACACCRTGCAACAGSCACGACACACGGCCATTCAAGGTAAGTAACTGACGACTTTTTTTCAACCAATCACAGCGTACGAGGTCATTGACGATAATCCAATCAAAATCAATTTTCTGACATGGCATCGTCAGGTTCATGGCGCAGTGCGTCCATATCATGGAGGTGACCYAGCCGTACGAATTTCTGCGCTAACTTGGYACTATACTGCATACTAASTGMAACGTATCTCAGCRMGCGATTTTTGAGGATTGTGTTCAAGTATTGATGGGTTGCGAGAATTCCCAAGAGCGTTGAAAAAAGGTAGAATCSATTGCTTCTAATACGGCTTTTAATACTTGAGCGTTCTTGGGCGTTGTATTGCTGAAGGGAGCATGCGGAAAAAGCTGTTTTACAACAAATGTAAAATTTTCTCGCTTAATGATTAGTTGAGAGCGGAGGTAAATAAGAGTTGGCGGGAAGTCCCCGTCAGCGCGCGCTTATAACAATTTTTCTTGCAAATTTTTTGCGTTTTTTTTTTTTTCCTTTTTTATAGTAAAAACAAATTTCCCGGTGGTTTAGCGTTGTCAGAAGCTCATAACGTTGTATGTCCTTTTATTTGCCACGAAGCACAAAACATGCACGTTGTTATGAATCACACTTACCAATGATGAAGTCAAATATTGCTGTATCAATGATATCTAGTAATCTTGGTCCTTCGTCATAAGGGTACTTTTTGAGTACYCTCTTGCAGTGATTATTATCTACTTCCCATCTAAAAACAGGAATAAAACGTTTTCAGCCTACAGGACCGAACCGCGCTACGCATACACAGGTATATCAATTGTAAAAAAAACTTGTTTCATTTGCGTCAAAACCTTTACCCTGATGAARAATGAGATGGCTGAAAACGTTATGTTAATAAGAACCAATCTCAATGCAGATGTAACAAGTTTTTTCAAGATTCACAGTTTTTGACAATAAAAACTTACATTGCCTTTTTGGACGTGTAAGTTCGTTGCCAAGGGTGTCGCCACTTTGCTAAACCCCACCCTCGCGGCAGCCATATCGTCAAGGAGCCCTCCATTACAGTCTTGTTAGCACATGCTGCTTCTTCTTTGTTGCAGTAGTGACACACGCCGTAGAAGCAAGTATTACCATCTTGGAAGAACAAGAAATAATTGGTATCAGGATATTATTACTAATATATAATAGGGCTTAAWATAACATGGACATTATGACTGCCAAATTTATTTTAACTCGAACATACYTCATTTCTGGCTCAACATTGGTGGTYCAATTAATGACCAGCAAGGCAAAGATTTGGCTGGACGAGTTCCAATTATGGCCTGAAATTGTCTTATGACCAGCTGTTATTTTAAGCCCTGGTATAAGYATGTATGTATGGAATCCAAGGATTAAGGACCTTATGATATTTTTAGGAGATGAAAGCAAGGGAATTACAAATGTGGGTCTAAAAAGCTGCCGAGCAGTGCAGGGGGTAGAGGGTGGAGAGGGAAGAGGGGAGGGAAGGAGGGAGGATGGGGGAGGGTTTGGGCAAACGCCTGATGGCTGTAGATATCGTAAAGGTCCATTATGATGCAGGTCAACTTGTTGGTAGCCTCCTTCGCAGAAGTAATCAGGGTCATTACGCAATGCTTCTCTCACGTGACRACCCTAACAATGTCTGCGAAGGAGGCTAACTTGATGGTAGGTCCAGAAACCAATGGTATGATTTCCATAGCAATATAAAATGATAATGTAGACAATTTTACTTCATGATTTATACCTTTTTTAAAGAAAGTATTAAGTAGGCTTCTTTCTGCAATAGGTTCAACTTCATCTTCAAGGTTGACCTTTCGACCAGCTACTGGTGGTGCCCTGTTGAATCCTAGTATCCTAGCAACATAAATGTAAGGATAYGTATTTAGTATAATATATCACTTATAACTTAAAGTTAAAAGAAAAAATATATTTCTTGCCATAAAAAATTAATCATGCAAGAGAATTAATATAAAAGGCATGAATATTTCTTCAAGAAACTATATTTATGAACACTGAATCAAARTATGGTCACCAATTTGAATAACTATCATTCTGAATGAATGTAATTTAGRCAAARTTAAAMCCMKKYCMAMCSG